GGTAGCTCGATTTTGTCATTGGCGAGGAGGTATTTCAAGATGACTGGAGCTTCATCATCTTCGAAGGAATAGTCCTTTTGAAACCTCGGATCGGGAGTCGCGTTCCCAGTGATTGCAGATGTCATCGGTCGGCTTCTCTCAGCTTTCTTTCTTTTAAGAAAGTGTTCAACTTGTTCGCCACGTAGCTTTAACTCTTTCTAAGTTTTGGATGGTACGACCCCCAGAGCTTCCAGGACATCGATGGAGAGATTATTATGGCATGTTTGCAGGATGAACTCCTCTGTAACAGGATCTCTACAATTCATTGCTTTGTTACGGAAGCGCTTGACAAAATTATCAACTGACTCTCCGTCTTTTTGCTTCTCATCTAGAAGGGTTCCGATCGACACTTCGGTGTCATCATTGAAGAAATTATTGAGGAACAAACTTTCCATGTCATCCCAACAATTGATGCTCCCTGGCTTGAGACGTTGGTACCAATCGAAGGCGGGCCCACGAAGGGTGCCAACGAATGACCGGACCATTAAAGCCTCGTTTCCAGAAATCATGCCCAAATGAGACTTGAAATAAATCAAGTGCTGAGTAGGCGAGTTTTTTCCGTCAAACGGTGTGAAGTTAATTAGATTAAACTTTGCCAGGTACGGTATTGAATCCCATTCTCTTGGATAGGGACATGGAATACTCATCTTTTTCACTTCTTGAGCCGTCATCAAAGCATTGACTTTGTTTTCAAGCTCTTTCATTTTCTCGTCATCGTCTATGTCTTCATTCGAAGGACGTTGAGGAGAATGAGTTAGGCCACCCCCTGTAAGAGGTGCCATTAAACCACCCCCAATATCGTTATTGGGAGGGTGCGTTAAACCACCCCCAACGTTATTGCTGTTGAGAGGTGTATCAGCCATAATGACTTCTGTCATCTGCAATATTTTGAGTGCGGCGGCTGGATTCAGCTCGCTGACTGGACTCAGGAAGTTGAGACCGTTAAGCTAGCAATTCTTTCATTTGTTGAATATCCAACTCCATCTCTGTCTTCATCTCAGCTCTAATTTCTTCACGTTGTTTGGCTAGAGCTTCTTGAAGGATTTGAGCAAACTGATCAGGGGTGATTGTGAGCACTTCTCTGGTTTGCCCCGTGCTAGACATTGTATCATCAGAAGCAATGACTGAACAAGTGTCTGAAAGTTCATCCTCTGAGGATATTCCTTCATGCATTCTCTTGTAATCCCTGCGTCTGATGGCTCCTAATTGGAGTCGAGATATCCTTTGAGCAATTCTTGGATTGACTTTTCCTCTCGGGGAAAAGTCGGGATTTGAGTCACTTGAATGCCGCTTAGACTTTCTTTTATCAACCATGTTGATGGTGACTTCAGGGAATTCGTCATCTTGGACAGCTGATCTTTTCTTGTGAAAATGTCTCGGCTTAGGCTTTGACATTTTGGTGAAAAGACTGTGGAATACCGAGGCTCTTTGCGGGACGGCCTCTCGTTTGGAGTAGTCACATTCCGACGGTACTGCTCTAATGAGTCGCATACAGAAACAATGAGAGCTCATTTCTCGGACAATCCTCTTTCGAGTTTTGTTCACAACCCCAACTTGATAGTATGACTCATCAGTATGATTACTGGAGAATCCTATCGTTTGTTGGTATGACCTCTCAGGTATAACGATGTCATTTGGTGAATGCGTCTTCTTCTGGGGGTGTAAAACCTTGTTGGCATTCTCAGGACAAATTATCGTTGCCTTTGAGCGATCCAAGGTTATGTCAGGAGTCACACGTTTAGAACCACTCCCTTGCGGGTGCGGAGTCTTAACGGGCTCCAAATGCTGATTTTGCACAACTCCAGACTTCGGAATCCAAACTTTGTATAATTTTGGTGGTTCTTTGGCCACCGTTTTCTTCTTTCCTTCTCGTCTTTGTTGTAAAAGAGCACGGGCACGAGCGGTGTTTGCCATACGCTTTTGTATGCGTTCTTTGAGGGTCGAACGGGCCCTTTTGACAAGAGTCCATTCCTCCGACGTAAGTTTTGCTGAGATGTGAGTGATTTGACGTTGAGGCGACTGAACCACTTGATGTTTCCTCGATTCTAAGTCCGCATAGTAACGAACTCCATCGGTTTGTTCCAAGGCCTTAGCCAATTGACGAGCGCGGCGTTGGCGTCGCCTCTGACGAGCCCTATTCGTCAGAGTTGGCGAACTTCGATCGAATGACTCCTTAATTAGGGTGGAATCATTATGAGCAGAGTTTCCGGCTTTGGGGGTCACCGGGATAATGTTGCGAGGCAAGGCCTCAACAACGATTGGGCGAGAGTCTTCACTTTTAGCCTTCTTTGGCGTATAAGCCTTCTTCAAAGATGAGATCCTCTTGTACTTGCGAGATAATAAAGATCTTGAAGAGGATGATGAGAGATATTCTTCAAACTTGGTTTGGTCAAACTCGTATTCGACCGTGGTATACAAATATAAGTTAGTGTCATTTAAAATCACCAAGTTTGCAGGCCATCAAGTGTTTTCGTCAAAAATTGGTTTTGTTGAGGAATTCATTATATCTTCAGTCGATTACAACAAATTCAAAGGAATAGTCTTTTTATAAGACCTTTTCTACACAACAAAGCAAAAATTACAACTTTTGAGAAAATAACACAAAAAAAATCGTCTATCGATTCTTGTTTTGTGGGACTTTGCCTGTGCCGGGAACGCTTTGGTTCGTGGACCGCTGAATCACAGATCGTGAATGGGGCTTTATGATTCTTCCTTCGTTTATCGAAGTGAGAATTTAAAACGATATCTTATCAAAGTAAGATAGTCGTTCTTCTTGAAATCAAGTCAAAGCTCGAATCTCAAGGGAATCCAAGAATAATAGCGTCTGCTCTCTCTCTGCTATGAATTGCTCGAAAATATACGATCCTCGTCAAAAATGATCTCAGGGGGGTATTTATAGCCCCTAGGACAAACAGTGCTTCCGAGACAGTGTTTACTGTCTCGGCGGTCGAGACAGCAAAGACTGTCTCAGGTTCCGAGACAGTAACCTGTCTCGGGTTCCGAGACAGCGTAAATAATCGTCTCAGAAATCCTCAACCGGCCTAGCCAGTTTTCTTGTAACTGTCTTCCCCTGTTTTACAACTCCGTTATTTTGGCAGTTATCAACGTGATTCTCGCCCACCAGACGTTTCCCACGTTCTTGAACAGTTGGTGGCCACGTGTCGGCAGTTACAAAATGGTTTCTGACTCTCTTTGAGAGCTGTCTCGTGGGCGAGACAGAGAATGCTGTCTCGCATGGCGAGACAGAGAATACTGTCTCGCCTGCGAGACAGTAACAACTGTCTCGCCTGGCGAGACAGGAATGCTGTCTCGCATGGGCGAAGACATGAAGATACTGTCGTCGCTGCGCCGACAGTAAGGACTGTCTCGCGTGCGAGACAGTAAAGACTGTCTCGTGTGCGAGACAGCCCATACTTGTGTTCTTCTGCCTTTTTTGGATGATATCCTTTTTTAGCTGTATTCGGATATCTTTCAGCATTTTTTTGACGCCTACAAACATGAGCATAAGACTTTTCGCCTTTTTATCTTTGGACTTCCACTGTTCAAACCCTTTCTTTTCTTCAGATGTAGATTTATCAGTAAGGGTTGGAGCAGTGGTTTCGATTATATCATCAATATTGTCATGAATAAGAGCATACCCTATTTTTCTATGCCACATATCATAATTACTGCCATTAAATTTGTCAATTTTCCCTAGTTCTGATAGAACGAGTTTACTAGCCATTCGGTAGAGAACTAAAACTAAATTCAATTTTAAATATATATAAGGTTGATATTTTGACAATTATAAAAAAAATAAAGTTAGATAAATTAAAAAATTAAGATGAACCTGATTCTTCCGAGTTGATGAAAGAGACTCCAATTTACGCGAGATTGTCACTTAGCGGTGTTGATTGGATAATTAGTCGTCTGACTGGATTTTGAAGAAGGTCCACCGTGTTAAGAATCAAACTCAATGGGAATCTTGATTTTCTCCTCACGCTCAGCAACTACAAGGGCCTTTTTTTTAAGGATAGAAGAGGCTCTGACTTTAACAAATGAAAGTGGGTTGTTGAATGAACGTGGGCCTTGTGACTGGGCCTGGTTTTAATTCAACAAATAAAGATGGATGGGCTTTGAGTATGTGGGCTGAGTGAAGGCTGAGTTCACTTGATACTTGAAGAGGAGGGCACCACGTTGGGTGATCTTACAGAGCAGCGGAAAAAAATTCCAGAACCTAGGTCGTCGCCGCCCACGCAGGGTCTCAGCTTCAAGATTGGATGGAGGTTGTCGTCTCTGCGGGTGATCGAGGTCGTCGTCGGTGGAAGCAACAGAGTCGCCGATCGATCGAAATCGCAACAGAGTCGTCGTCGATCGATTGTTGCCGCGGCAGAGTTGTCGAGGTGGCTGATTGACGCAGAGCTCGAAGGGGGCGGCGATGAGATCGACCCGCTCTGATACCAGTGATCGAAATCAAAAAAGAAGAATAGATTTTGAGGGGGGTTCCGCTAATGGGTAAGGGTTTTTCACTTTCCTTTTTGTTATCTCTCTCAAGGAGATTTCTCCTCAATTTATAGGGGCTGAACCCACTAACTCCACCCCCCAGATCCGCCCCAATGAGAGATTTTCTCTCAACAACCCTTCCACGTTTTCACGTTCCACAGTTCTCTCTACTGAGAATTGTTGATTTGGTCATCTTAGACCAGGTCAAGCTAACAATAGTAGCTTCTTTTTACCCTCAATAGTAAGCTTAACTTATCGTTCAATTTAATTACATGACGGGCTTGTTTTCAGCCTTGAAATAAATTTCTCATGTGTAATTTGGCATGTTATAAAAATACAGAAAAAATAATTACTCTATTAAAATTTTGCGATGTTATAAAAATACAAAAAAAAAAGTACTCTATTAAAATTTTAGAAAGGGTTTTTCACAGGAATTAGTAAGTCAATGTCAAAGAGGAATCATAAAATACACAAAGGGAAAGACAAGGGAAACGTCAGCCTGGGCAATTTGCCGATAACAAGAGCACTAGGAAAGTTGCAAATTTAACTGTTCGATTCAAGATTATATACATATTTTTAAGTATCAAAGTCTCCCCTCTAATAACATAAAAGAGAAGAACACATCTAACTATTCGATAGCAAAATCTTCATAGGTTACAAAATCGTCCAATAAACATCAACTAATTGCTGCATTCAGCATAACCCTGCAAAAACAAAAAGGTTATCATAAACATTATGATAACACACAAGATTACCCAAAACATCAATGATAAAATCATAGTTGATAGCATTTTCATTTGTAGGTATTTTCCTCAATGTAGAGTCACCGAGAAATTTCAATGCAGAAACGTTTACAGTGCAAATTGCTCAGAAGTTTGAAGGTAAACGGAGTACAATATGTTTACACAATGACCAAACGGTTCAAGAATTAACCTACAAGCATGACACTTAGCCAAGGTTGCATTTAGGATCCTCCGTTCTATCTTTTCCTTGCGAATTTTAATCGCCAACAATTGAAATTAGCATCTCGTATATTAAATTGAACATTAGCCTATATAAGGATAAAATCAATTTCCCATCAAATTTTTATAGTTTTTTTTTTTAGATACCACCTTAAGAACAAGGTCATGATACGGGAACCACATTCAATTTCAATTTATACATAAACCACCTTTAAAGTGGGCTTGTGCTCCAATCAACCACCTCCAAGTCAAATTTTAAATAAAAAACCAAAAAATAAGCTTTAAAAATTCACGTTCTAAGGGACGTGGCTTGCATCCTAACAAGACCTAAACATTAACAAAATGAGTCACATGATTGGATTGTGAGGTTTTTAAAGGTATTTTCGGATTTTTGAGGTAAATTTTGAGTGGGGAGGTGGTTAATTACAACACAACCCCACTGAAAAGGTGGTTTATGTACAAAATGAAATTGAAAGGTCACTTCCATATAATCACCCTAACTTTAAGGTGGTTTCCTAGGATAAAATACATTCGTGTAACTACAACATCAACATCTGTTGTTCCTGTTCTACTGTAATGATAAAATTTTCAGTAGTTTCATGTTAATTGTGTTTCTACAACTCCTATTCATCTAAGGTTACATAGATTCAGTAGGAAGTCGCCATAACAATATGGGGAATAAGCGTGCTGTTCTGTGCTAATCCTCTATGAAAGTTAACTTGTAACTGATATAAGTTATGACTAATCAACAAGTTAATTAAACAAAAGAATGAAGAAAAGAATTGCTTAAATGGGTACATGTAGTGACAGATTTAACAGGAAAGAAAAAGGATGCACTGAGCTTAAAGAATATAACCTTCAGAAAGCGAAGTGATCAACTTCTTCGTTTTCACCTTCATCTTCGTCCTCATCCTCCTCAGAAAACCGCAAGCCATCAATCTCTTCTTCCTCTTCATCCTCTTCATCCATCATATCACCAGTTGGCTGCTTGTCCTTCAAACCGGTGTTCAGTACCACCGTTTGCCCTTTAGTTTTCTCCATATCCTTGCGCAACTTATCCATGCTCTCTTTTCTACGCTCTGCTTCCAGTCTCTCCTTCTCAGCCCGTCTCTTATCAAGATCAGCTCTAATAAAAATACAATAAACAATCATATGCTTGTGATTTTAATTGGAAAAAGGTTAACAAGGTACAAAAAAACAGAAATGGAATTGGTATATACTTGTAGTTTTCCATGTATTCTTTAGCACTCGCTTCTATAGCATTAAAGAACGCTTCCATTCCAACACCAGAAACTGCTGAAACACCCACAGAGCGAAGATTTTTATAAAACTCATCAAGTACAAGTGACAGACTTCTTGTTAAAGTTGCTGTGTATGATGAATCAGAGTCCAATGTAGATTGGAATGCTTCAAAATCTTCCATCCACTGTTTCCAGAAAAATAAACATCAGTCTTTTCTCTATGGCGCAGTCAAAACCAAAAAGCCAAGGAAAGAAAGACGACAAGCAAATGGGCAAAGGCATGAACTTGCTTGAACCAGCATCCAGTAAGAAACATTTATGAAATTGCTTGAATCAGCATCCAATAAGAAACATCAAATGTCCATATGATGAACACAATATTGATGTATTTGCACTTATATAGCATCAGATATAGAAGAGACCAAATCTAAATTGGAATAAAAAATAATCTTACAGTAGAAACCAATTGTTTGCAGAAGTTTCACCAGCTAGACAGTGACTGCAGTAGTTAGTAGGGATTTAAGCAATGTAAGTGGGGGAGAAAATCACACATTTCTTTTATCTCATTCAAAAATCATATATGTACTAATGTTACAAACTTACAAAGGTGCTAAGAGGGCGTAGGCACATGCCTTGTATCAAATTCCTTTTGTAGTCTCCTAAACTGTTAGAACTGTGACTTTGGAAACTACTAAACTATTCTTTACCTCAAACAATGAAGCAGCTAATTGCCTCCCTTTTATAAACTAAACAGACCATGTATTCTGTATAAATTTACATCATACACATTTAGTACTTGGAGCTCATTTTGCAGCAACCCTGCTTCTCATAATAATAGTCCATAACCATGTTCCACCCCCATCTCAGCATAAGAAATGATGGTTTGTATGCACATTATCAACAACCAGCCCAAGGAGCTGACAGATCAAAACCAAGCAATTTATGGCTTTGCTCCAACAAATCTGATGTCCAAGTCGTGTTTATAGCAAAGCACTGACATTTTCTTTCCCACTTTAATTTTATGGTTAATGTCTTCAAATGTTTGGCAGTACCATAGCCTCCAACGAAAAAATATAGCGAGCCCCAGGAACATCTCTTACACCATATTCCTCTTTGATATTCTTCACCACAAAAGCTTGTACTGCCAAACTAACTACAAAAGGCTTTATAGATTTTAAATTCTAATATTGGCCTACTTTCCAATGCTCAAACATTTAAAAGCAAGTCAATTATTGATGCAGTATACATCAACATTAATAGCGTATAAACAGATAAAACTTTTGGACACACAATGCTCCATGACATGTGATGCATACTGATTCACCATTGCAATTCCTGCACAGGTTAAAAAAACACACGAACAATCCAAAAAGAAATAGTAAGAGCAATAATGATGATGACTTCCCATGCTTTACAGGCAAGGAGTGATATATACCGCTGCACTACAAATGCTCTTTACCTTTTTCGAGTTTTCTTAGTGCTTTCAGAAATATCTAAAGATGTCTTGCAAAGATAAGCTATGCTCAAGCTATCATGAGAATTTCAAGCCAACTTTGGGCATGTATACCACAGTGATATAAACAACACTGCTTAGAATTGTCACTGTACTTAAGGTGATTAAAGGGCTGTTATTCTTCACCATCTAAACAGTCGAGAACTTTCATATCATACCAATAGGTGTCTTTCAATTTTTAACAGGTTTAGCTTATGATGTATTAGTAATCCTCGGTTTTACCATTTTTACCTAGCAAAAGTTCAATCAAATCATGCACATTTTATGGAATTCACCCGTCCACCCACACCCACCCCCCCCCCCCCAAACTCCCCCCCCCCTAAAAATAAATAAATAAATAAATAAAGCCTCAAGAAAAACCCGAACATCCCACACACCACCACCAGAAATAAATTTCCCTGCACACTTCTCTTAGGAATTTCTAATACAACATTTCATCACATTTAGAAACATAGGCTTCCATTAAACTTTTATTTGATCATCAAAGCCAAGATGCCTGCTAATTTTGGGTGTTCTTGTTATTTCTCACCTCATTGAGATGATTATTTCACTTCTAAAAAAATAAAAGCATACTGAGAATTCCATATAGGATAGAAGTCACCATGCTATATGAATATTCTTATAATTAATACTGACCTTCCAGCTCAAATAGGCAATCGAGAAGGATATTCATCGATGCATAGAGTGTTTAGTATCATTTTCAATAGGATTTTATTATTTTAATCAATATCTGTGAGTATGTTGAGGCAAAGAAATAATAAGTAGAATAGATGATGAGCTACAGGGATGTGCTGAATGAGCAAACACGGTTAGCATTCAGAACATAGCTCTGGGCGTCTAATGCCCTCAATACATAATCAAATGATGAAACCTTTACGTAAATTTGTAACTTCCATAGCATTAGTGAATACTAATTGAACCAGCAAACAAATTCCACCACTTCATCGACTCAGTCACTCAAAGTAGATTTCCAATTAAAGAAAAAAAAATCTAAGACCATAGACCAGAAATACTAAAGTTACAGAGAGCACTGTACGGATAGGCAGCAAGAAATACTGAAAATAAGCCAGGAACAAACTAGAAGCCTATGAGTTTGTAGCTCATCGAACACTGGTTCATCAAATTTAACTTAAACATGTCAAACAATTGAGTCAAGAAAAAAGAATCCAAAACCTTGCTTTGAAGAAACGACATATTTAAAAAAAAAATGTTTAACATATGTAACCATGAAACCTGTCCTATTTGCAAATTTATCATTGTTATAAATAACAGTAAATAGCGGTAAATAATAGCATTAGCGAACCCTTCTCGCTACGTTATCGCTCAATAGCGGTGACATACTACAGAATATGCGCTTTCCGCTCACAAAACCGGCCAATAGTGCACCATAGCGACAAATAGCGTACGACTGCGGGCAAAATCTGCTTTTTGACCGATATTTAAAAGCGGTTTGAGGTGTAGTTTTTCAAAATTAAACCCGACCTACAACCACTGCATCCCGCGATTTCTGGCGTATTATCGCTACCTCCCACAGCCTCCGGCACCTCACTCAGTACTTCCTCTCATCTCCTCTCGCCGTGAGCTCCTACTGCAGTCCTCTCACCGCTCAGCTCATCTTCTCGAAGACGATGACTCTTTGATTCTTTCTCTAGTCATCTTCGTATTATATGACAATTACATGTCTATTTTATGTTTAGGATCTCTTTAAATCGTCAAATATGTACTTTTAGATTTTCTAAATTTTTCTATAATTTTTTTAAATATGTATACATATCTAAATTAGACTGCTATTTGACTTTGCGCTTTTTACCGCTATTTTGTCGCAATAGCCCCAAATAGTCTTAGTGATGCCTCACCGCTATGCGACGCTATCCACTATCAATAACCTTGATATTTACCCCCCAGCTAACCATTATCTACATCAGCCCTACATCTCTGAGACTCTTTCTCTCTACCCCAGCCAAAACAAGGGCTTTTTTAAGGGGGGATGCGGGCTCCATAATGATAAAGATTTTCTAAATTTTTCTATAATTTTTTTAAATATTTATACATATCTAAATTAGACTGCTATTTGACTTTGCGCTTTTTACCGCTATTTTGTCGCAATAGCCCCAAATAGTCTTAGTGATGCCTCACCGCTATGCGACGCTATCCACTATCAATAACCTTGATATTTACCCCCCAGCTAACCATTATCTACATCAGCCCTACATCTCTGAGACTCTTTCTCTCTACCCCAGCCAAAACAAGGGCTTTTTTAAGGGGGGATGCGGGCTCCATAATGATAAAGATTTTCTAAATTTTTCTATAATTTTTTTAAATATTTATACATATCTAAATTAGACTGCTATTTGACTTTGCGCTTTTTACCGCTATTTTGTCGCAATAGCCCCAAATAGTCTTAGTGATGCCTCACCGCTATGCGACGCTATCCACTATCAATAACCTTGATATTTACCCCCCAGCTAACCATTATCTACATCAGCCCTACATCTCTGAGACTCTTTCTCTCTACCCCAGCCAAAACAAGGGCTTTTTTAAGGGGGGATGCGGGCTCCATAATGATAAAGATTAATGGATTCTTGGTCGTGTGTTGATTTAATTATGCTTTTGGCCTGGATTCTTTCTGCTTTGATAAATGTTCGGGCTTCTCCTGAAAGTTTTTGTTGGTATTTGTGGTGCACTTAGGATTTTTATGGTTAGCAATCACCATGGTAATTCAACTAGAAATCCCCTCGTCAGCCACGCGCTCCAAGAAGTTTTCTCAGAACAAGAGCAAAAGTAAAAAGACAGAAATTACTCCACTTCAGCTACCCCCTAAAAAATAAAACTCTATGCTCATTAAACTCCCCAACTCTTCCGCTTCAACTCTAACAATATTACCAGCTAACCAGCCTACTCCAATAAACACTCATTAACTTCCACATTAACTACTTACAGAGCTACATGACCTCAAAGTTTTGATCTTTCTAACCTTGTGCCCCCTAATAGCTTATCTCACCTTCTCCACTCATTTACTATCACAAATCTAAATCCTAGATATACCCCCAAATATTCTTAACAAAACAGCCTCAATGTTTCTGGCTAATCCACGATTATAAACCAGATAGTTTGAAGCACTAAACATAGGATATTTATGACACTCTTACTATCTGAAACAAACAAATCAATATAACTAAATTGTTTATTGTTTCTTTCATATTAAAAACATAGGATATTCTTGGCACTCTTACTATCTGAAACAAACATAAATTACTCCACTTCAGCTAACCCCCCCTCCAAAAAAAAAAAAAACTCTATGCTCATTAAACTCCCCAACTCTTCCGCTTCAACTCTAACAATATTACTAGCTAACCAGCCTACTCTAATAAACACTCATTAACTTCCACATTAACTACTTACAGAGCTACATGACCTCAAAGTTCTGATCTTTCAGACCTTGTGCCCCCTAATAGCTTATCTCACCTTCTCCACTCATTTACTATCACAAATCTAAATCCTAGATATGGCCCCAAATATTCTTAACAAAACAGCCTCAATGTTTCTGGCTAATCCACGATTATAAACCAGATAGTTTGAAGCACTAAACATATGATATTTATGACACTCTTACTATCTGAAACAAACAAATCAATATAACTAAATTGTTTATTGTTTCTTTCTAAACTGTTTATTGTTTCTTTTATATTAAAAGAAGAGACGTTGTTGACTACATATTGGGAAAAAGCTGCACCAAATGAAGGTAACTAAAATATGTCAAAAGTAGAAATTATTTTTCCCCCTTCATTGTGGCATTTACAATCAGAAAAAAATATAAGAAAAGTTGTGGCATATATTGATTTCAAATTTAAAAGCCTATTCTATATGCCTAATGAAGTTTTTATTTTATTTTATTCAGGTAACCAACAAATGAGAGTCCATGAAAATTCAAGATTCAATCTATCATCCAATTACAGTGTTCTCACTCCTCAGCCCTACACCTTCATTCCCCAAATTCTTGTAATGCTACAGCAAACCTGGCACATGATTTATCTATGCAAGACATATCAAACAATTGTTTATTTATCTGCAACCTTCAAGCCTTTTCCGCAGCAACTATAGTCAGAGTTATAAAGTGAACATGATTGTTCTATTATTCCCACATCCAGTACAAGTATATACTTCATAAGTATACATCAAACAATTGTCCATTTGTCGGCAACCATCAAGCCATTTTTCCAACTATTGTAGTCAATGTTATAAAGCTGATATAATTGTTCTATTATTGCCACATCCATTATAAGTATATCCTTCTGTTAATGCATCTCATGACTTAATACTTTATTGCCACATCCATTATAAGTATATCCTTCTGTTAATGCATCTCATGACTTAATACTATGTTCTCTTTCAGATTTCTAGATTGAACTAAGTATATCCTTCTGTTAATGCATCTCATGACTTAATACTATGTTCTCTTTCAGATTTCTAGATTGAACTGAAATGCAAGGCTACCTTCAGTTCAGCCATATGTTTCTTCGTTATACAAAGTCCACAATGTCCTTTTTTATTCTGTGCCATTTAAAACATGACTAGGGCAGCCAAAATGCTTCCTTGAATATATACAACTAATTGATTCTAAACATAGTTTCCAAAGCACACCCAGGCTTTACTTTAGTCAAAGAACTTTCTCTCATCAAAGTATATAAAGACATATTCTTTTCTCCTTTTTTTTAGATGATATAGATTCATATTCATGTTGGGTAGTTATTGAATGAATGAGATGTAAACTAAAAATGAAGCATAAGGAACTACGCCATCTGTGCTGAAAAAGCTGGTTCCCGTTGATATTAACAAATCAAACTGAGAAACTCATAATTCTTGCTGCCAATAACACTGGCATGTGTCATTAGTCATTCAGTCAAACATGTGACAGATAAGTTCAATTACAATTTCCGTATGTTTCTTCTTTAACACTTGACATGTAACATTAAATGGTTATTCAATGTGTTTATACACTCGTCATTTAGATCCACAAAGACCAAACAGTTATTTTTTTCATCATTTTTTTGAATAATTCTGCGAAAGAAAAGTATCACATATAGTGCACTAAATACTTCAAATAAAAATTTGCAAATGCAGTCTAGAAAACATGCTTATCATGTCGATTGTGAAGAAAGAAAATTCACTTAACTGAAAAGGCATTATAGAAGCACAAAGAGAGGCTAATTCATGTTCAATTACCTCTATTGCAAACTCATGCTTCGTCACATCAACCTTGTTAAATGTAAGAACCAAAGGCAGTCTTGTCTTGTAGAGTATGCTACATCCATAGAGCATGTTGCTCATGAAAGTTACCGGATTTCCAGATCTAGGTGTATCCACAACATACGCTATGACTGTAGGAAACGTCGAAGCAAAAGCTTCCATGATAATTGCTCCAGAAGCTGACCAAGTGAATATCTCAATCTGACCAGGGGTGTCCACCAAAACATAGTCTAATTCATCTGCTCGCCTTTCAATAAGTGAAACCACCTGAATCAAACAAAACCAACTTTATATTAACTGCAGATCAAAACAAAAATAGCAACATTGCATGTTAGCATTATATACCTCATCAAACTTTGTAGCAAATAGGTTCAAACACGTGAGAATTCCCCCATTGGGGCCCAGACCGTACTCCTTCATCACTTGCTTGTACCGAACCGTGTCTCTGATATCGATATTAGCACCAAATGGAAGTGTCATGACTGCCGGGTCAAGGTTAAGGACATAACCCCTAATGCCTGAGGACTGAGTATGGCAAACCAAGCGATGAAGAAAGGTAGTCTTCCCACTCCCTGTGTATAATCCCACTGGTTTAGACTAGAACCAAACAAATGTATTCAATAGCTAATAGTTCAAGAACATCATCGCATGCCTGCCATTCCCACGACAATGATGATCACCGGCTTCTTCTTGAAGCTCGAAGAGGAGGATTCGGAAATGTTCAGCTTCTCTATAGACTCCAAAACCTCCTCTTTCTCTTTGCCCTTTCCATTTACCTAATAAATAAGCCATTAACAACCTTGAAAAGAGATGCCCATCTGAATTTTTTTATAAAAATCACGGGGCAACAAAAAAATTTTAAAAAAAATCAAAATTTGTACTCCATTTGAAGTGGGCTTCTCTAATTCCATTTGCATCGGGTTGCTTGAGTTGCGTTCCGGATCAATATCCATTGCCCACACTGAAATAACTCTTAAAAGATCAATAAACAATAATATAAAAAAAAACAAATAGGATTTATTGATTTGAAGTTCCCAGATGAGACTATTTAGTTACAGGTTAGGGTTTTTTGAGGTAGTAAAACCTACGGGCGTGAAGCAAATAATGGGAAAAAAGCTAGGGTTTTGAGAAGAGGACACTTACCCTTTACTTTCTCTTTGTGAATCTTTCCCTCGAAACTTTCCTCTTTCTTCACCTTTTCTTTTCTCTCTCTCGCGTGAGAAGAGAAGCAGGTGTTAAATGAGTGGGTTTGGGTATTAAATGGGTGGCATATTTTGCCCATTTACCCATTTATGACTCATTTAATATTTACTAAATGGGCGGGTTTTTGCCCACCCATTTAATAAATATATATATATATATAATACTTTTGTGGTGTTTTTTATAAACTTTTAGGGGGCTTTTTGTAAACTATTGGGGGTTTTCTTGTAAACTTTTTGGTTTTTTTTGCAAACATTTTGGGGGCTCTTTGCAAACTTTTTGGGATTGACAAGTAACATGAGGTCTTCAAACTGATAAAAGAAAAATTATCTCCCCAACTTTTCAAAAAGGAAATATTCCCAAAAAAACATCCTAAAGGCGTAAAGAAATGTAATATTGCGATATATATTGTTGGACCATTTGCTTTCTACTCATCTTTCAGAAAAGAAAACAATCTTTCACGGGTTTATATACTAGAAATGGTTGGTTTCCTTCTTTATGTTTATGTTTGCACTAGTAAATGAGTAGAATAATCTTCGAAGGATATTAACATCCAATACTAAGGTAGCTCCATGCACTTTGATCACAAATTAATAATTTATCATAAACGATAAACATACAAATTCCTACAAACATAAAGATTAGCTATCTAATGAATTTGGATATACAAAAATTGGTTGAGAACAAATGATATAAGATCTCACTAATGTAACCTGATGCTCTTGAAGTAAAGCATCTCCAACAAAAGAAAATAATTGAGTCTAACCAAGAGCTAATGAGCTTTAAATAGAGACTAGGTTGCATAAAATTTGAAAATGGGTTGATGTCATATGGTTTGAAAGTCCCTATTGAATTTGAGGGTAATAATTTCATATTATAATACCGGTGACTTGATAGTATTACCATTGTTTTACCATTCGTGTTTCACATGCATATATGCTATAGGGTTTATGATATATTAACAAATAGATATCAGAAGAATCTTCAACAATGTAAGCTAATATTTGCGCATTAAACTATATTGCATCTCTTTGTTATTTAGTTCTTTAGGCTCTTATAAAGTCATCTCCTAGTTTATTCTTCCATTGAAAAAAAATATCAGTGAGCAAGTTGGTCCTTTCTTCATTTACGACATAATAGCTTCCCCTCTCACTGTGGCTCTATTCTAGAATCAGCACATCACACCAGCTGTTCACGCTCCTTTTTCATTAAAAATATTAGTAAATTAACTATGCCTTACAATGTTTTTTCATCAATATATATACTAACTAAAATCTTGTAGATAATAGCATTTTAATTTCTTTTGTATTAGGTAAAGAAACTCTGTAAGAAGTTTGGCATGAGTTACGGTGGTTTAAATCCATTGAATTATCCCAATTTTTTATGATCTTGCTCAATTTGTAGGTAATTAACTAATGTAAAACTTCTAAAACTTTGTTTTTTCATTGATGAATTAACTGATCACTCTACCCTTTCTACTACGTAAATTTGGAAATAAAAATAATCTTATATATAAGCATATTTGAATATAGCTAATCACACAAAAATAGTCCAAAAAAAAGCATACACTATATTGTAGTAAATTAAGAAACAAAAGAACAAACATATTTAAAAAAACGCAAAAAAAAATCTTATACACAGAAAATTTCACATCAAAGGAACGGTCAAATTTTTAGGGGAAAACCTAGATCCGAGATTACGATATGCGTATTTAAAATTTAGATAGCAAATTTTGACTGAATTTTATCGAAAGATTTGAGATTGGGATTCACCTGAGAGAAAGATTGTTATCGCAGGAAGCGGCGGCGACTTCAGCGGAAGAAGTGATGCCGGGCGGAGGCGGGGGTTCGAGAGGCGGTTGAGGAGGAGGCGGAGGAGGAGGGATTGGGGTCGGGATGATGAGGAGCTCAGCTGAGAGAAAGATTGGGGTTTTAGGGTTTTGGTTTTGGGAAAACGTGTGGGAAAATGGGGGAATAGAAAACGCCCATTTCAGTACTCATTTTCGTATATAGTTTAAAAAAAATGAATCTGTGTCTGATTAGACTTATTTATTTTTAAATGTGTAAGCTTTCCATGAGCTAAATAATGGACCGACCAAGGGGATTAATGGGTATTGGCAAAAATTGTGTTTTAAGAGAGATTGCTAATCGAGCCAAGTAAAGGACCGGAAAAAAAAAATTTGATCAGTTCGTCTGTGCTAAGAAACAGGCCCATAAAAAAGATCTTTTATTTTGTTTTATTTATTTAGGAGGGGGGGGGGGGGGGGGGGGGGGGAATGCCTCCATTTCTCAGACATGTGAAGTATCATCTTCCATATATTATTGTGGGTGTTTTCTGGTTGGCCTTGGATTTGCATACAATTTCTTATTTCTAGGGCTCTGGGCCCTTCTTCAATCCTACATGTTCTAATTTTTATTATAATTCTCATTAAATTCTTATTCAAAACGGTCTATGGATTTTATCCCTAACGGCTGATAAATTTCACCTGTTGATATTTCGAAGTATCTTTGATAATTTATGTTTTTGTTTGCCTGGACAACGAGCACAATTTTTTCTCCTTTTGATTGTTGTAAATTAGCAATTGATTCCTTTTTTTTGTTTTTTGTTTACAGTCAAATGAGGCTAGAATAAGTCCAAGAGTCTACTAGTAGTCATGACCAATGGGCTAACAATTCGTTGTTAATCTTACAGTAAACTTGTGGTTTTTAAAAGGCTGATGAATATCAGACGGAAAATAATTAGGCCCACGAAGAAAAGGCAATCATGCAAATGGGTCCAGGCCCAGTTAGCACGGCCGACTAAGCTAATGCGGGGCTCAAGCCTAGTAAGCACGGTCCACTAAGCTTCATAGCATCATCCTTGTATTTATAATTTAATAAATCAGTAGACTTGTAATAGCTTATAAGAAAAAACTTTGAATAGCCTGTTATTCTTTTCTTTTGATAACTGTTAATGTCTGATATCAAACAGTCAAATAGAAGAATTGATTAAGTTGACAAAGATCCTCTAACCCTCCAAATGTCTGGTTCTAGAGTAAGCTGTTTTTCCATGCGCAAGTAGCAAATCGTAAGAGGGCGAGGTTGGGTTCCCCGGTTGTTCCTCTGACGATCAAGTCAGTGATTTACTTGAATGGAGAAGTGAAATGAACTACAGTAGTTTTTAAGCACAGTGAGTAGTTGTAAACATCTTACCTTATTATTAAAAATAAAATCCTTATTTATAGTGGTGGTAGAAGGGTAGAATAATAACTTCGACTGAGTATGAGATGACGGCCATGTTAGCCTCTGCTCGGCCGACGAGTGTAGGAGAGGTCACTTCGGTATTTAGTACGAAGCGATTGCGGGTGTGCGGTTCCGACGTGGTCTGATGTGTCATAAAGTGCCCATAAAGCATTTAATGACATTTATTGCTAGGTGATTGGTCACCAGTGCACGGGAGGAGGCTCGAGGCTAGAGGCATTTCGTCGCCTTTCCACTCGTCTGGTGGTCAAGAAACACCGCCTTTTGAGTCGCCTTCGCAAGGTGTCGGTCGATTAGTCGGTTGAGTGGAGTGATTAAGCAGTCGACTTAACCAGAGGTCGCATGTAACGCCTTTTGAAATATCGGCATGTAACGCCTTTCTAGTCATTGACACCAAACACTGTTTGAGTCGTCCTTGCAAGATGTCGATGTGTTGAGTCGACCGAATTGGGCTTTAAATTATCTTGAAGCGCTGACTCGATTACGTATAGTGTGGGACACTTGTCTGCCATTGATTGGAGATTATATTTCATCGCTAAAATGGCTATAACAATAACAATGTATGAGATCCTTGTTCTCTATTAACTATGACTTTATTAGCCACCCTTGTTTGATGCATTTTGTAATGTTGTTCGTACAGACCCTTGCATTTCTAGCCGTTTCTATAAGTTCTCAATAAAGTTACCGATGAAAAATAAAGTTTATGGTTTCAACTCATTACTCACAATGATGGTAATTTTCATTTTTTTCTTTTATGCTTTCAATTCATTGTTCACAGTGATGATAATTTTCTTTTGTCTTTTTTTTTCATTTCATTTCTCTCCAATCATTGACATCGTTATCATTTCTTCGTCGTGACTCGTAATACTCGTTTTGGTAAAGATTTATAAAAAAAAATGAGATTAAATGGAAAGATTACTTTTTTCTGGAAAAAATATAAAAAAGTTTTATCTACATAGTCTATCTGTTGGCGTTAAGGTTTGCATTAGTAATACTATTAGGTAATATTTATTTTAATCATTAATTCATTATACTTTTTTTATTTTTGAAAATAAAAATTATTTCTAATTTCTTTATAAATAAAAGGCTACATTGTAACTCATCTATTGAGAATGATTCGTAAACTCATTTTATTCCATTTAGATATGTTATTTTAACTCTTTATCTATTTTTTGTGTTTGACAGATTAAGAAGAGTTGATTCAATGCATATGTGTGCAAATTTGTGTTCAGAAATTCACTAGTTGCCTAGGATGAATATCTTAGCTAATATTATTGATTTGATACAGTGAAATTGTAGCATGGTAGCATGCTATCTCTCAACATTTTACTTCTGTTTACAATCAACTAGTTCTCTCGTGCACGCAAGGGGTGTATTACATAGTAAGCTTGTGCATAAAAAAATATTTTTTAACACCTTAACAATAAATACTAATATGAATAGATTTTTAAAAAAATATTACTAAAATCGATATAAAGTATCTTACTTCTGGAAAATGGAGAGAGTAGGGGAGTTATTAGGTAGTGGATGATACTTAGGGGATTTTTTTATAGAGTTTCTAATTTTGTCCTTCTAATTAGTTTCAATGTACAATAAATTGTTGAGGATATTTGTTAAAAAGTTTTTGAAAACTTGACACAAATAGGGGTTAAAAGTATGGCTTTTCTTAAATGATAGTACTAGATAGATTATGTTCTACCTTTACAACAAAAGGCAAAATAAATAGAAAATAAAAAGAAAAGAAAAGAAAAGAAGCAATGGCTCCTATTTGATTTTCACCTCTAACTTACCACTAATGGTAGGCAGCAATCAACAATGAAATCTGCAGTAATCCTTTACTTTTCTTTTATCTTCTTCTATAAGGGGTTGTTTAGTTCGCTCATTTTAAAGAAATGAGTACGTAGGAATATGAAATGCCTATAAAAATATTTCAAATTATTTCCTATTTTTATGTTTGGTTCAAATCGGGTTCATAGAAATAAGTTTTTATAAAGTGGGGAAAGTGGGAAAGTTTTACGGAAGCCCACATTCTTTTGATCTATAGCTTGTTTGACTAGCTAAAAAAACAAGAAAGTGCATTATAGGAAACACATTTCCTGTAATATTTTGCTTTCCTTGAGTACATTATAGGAAACACTATAATGTTTTGCTTTCTTTTATTTGAGTTTCTAAGGGGTTGTTTGGTTGGTTTCCTAAAAATCAAGAAAAGGAAAAAGGTACATGGAAATCAATAAAATATTATTTTCATCTATTTTCATCCCTAAAACTCACCACAATATCCAATAAAATATTATTTTTATCCCACAACTCATCTCATATCATCTCTTAAAAATAAACCAAACACAAGAAATGAGTCACATCATCCAACTCATCTCATCTCCATCACATCTCATCTTTAAAAATTACTCACATCATCCAATAATATGGCGACAACTCATCTTATCTCATTAACATTTTATTTTCTCCCATTTCCTCCAAAAAAAGTTAGGAAATCGATTTCCTAAGTGTGGGTCACATCATTCAATAATATAATGAGAACTCATCACATCTCATCTATTTTCTTATTTTTATGAAGAGAAAATTGCTTGGGGGAACCAAATTTAATTGGGTCATGCATCCCCACCCCCCAACTAGAGTCAACCACTTAGGGGCACATTGACCCAAGTTTTCATGCTTTTACACCCCAAACCTACTACCCAAGAAAATCAATTCCCAAATTACCCTTCTTCCCAACTTAAAACCCATTCATTTCCTCCTTAATCTGGTCCAAGACCTCCCCCTCCCCCTCCCCCACCACCGCGACGCCTGTCGCAATCTCATCCTCTTCCTCCGCCCTCCGCACCCGCATCGACCGAGTGGAGGAAGAACCCATCGCGCACCAGCAACCTCCGTCACGCGACGTCCGGCCTCGGCATCGCCCTCGTCACCTTCGGCATCTACCTCGTTGGCGAGGCCGCCTACAACCGCATCAACCGCTCTGATCCTCACTCCGGTCACTAAACAGCGGAAACCCTAACCAAAGGTCCAATCTTTAACTTCCAATCTCCCAATTTCTGAGATTTTTGTTTAAATCTAGGGTTTGATGGAGAATTTTGGGATTTGGGCTTGTTGGAAGATTAGATCACTGAAACTGTAGAATGTGGGATTTGGGCTTATTGGAAGATTAGATCACTGAAACTAGAGGATTTTAGATTGGTTGAAGAATTGGGTGTGTAGTGGATTATTATTTGAACAATTAAAATTTAAGAGACTTATTATGCATCCTCTCTTTGATGTTTATTGTTTGTGATTATATCGTCTATTTCAGCATTACTTGATTGATTTCTTGTTGATAGTTGAGCTAAGAAGGCTTGGGTTAGGGAGCCTGATCACTAACAAAAAGGGATTTGTGACTCGAATAATTAAACAAGAGTAATTCGTAGTTACGTGCTAGAGGAAATAGTGGCTAATGTTGTAGAAGAAGCATGGCGTGCTCTCGGCATCCGACAGCCCTTGGGTCAGTTCCATAGCATGCTCAATCTCAGCCTCATCGTGACCCCGCACGTGCCGGGGAGGATACTGTTCTACGAAGGACATAGGATGATAACAATAATAAGAAAAAAGATGATAATAATAATAATAAGAAGAAAGATGAACCCTTTAAGTTGATTTCTTGAGATGATGATAATAAGAACATGTAGATTTCTGTGTTTGTTAACAATGCATGAGGTTGGTTTTGTGTAACGAGTTGCAGATCAATGAAAATTTGAGATAATCCCCTTTTACGT